GTAATCAAAGGTAATTATTATAATTTTCTCGCTGTTAATTTTTTTTTTTTAAATAATATTAATGTAGGAATGATAATAAAAACATTCGGCAAAAGTACTTTTATTTACCTAAAAAAAAATGCTCGCCTACTCTAATTATTTTTTAAGTATATTACAGAAAAATGCTTTCAATATACATTAGTCACAGGACTCACAGAGATTTGGGTATGCAGCATGTACCTGTACTGAAATAAAAAAAATACCAATTTTCACCACAATTTCAGTACCCTCTAATGAGTCCAGGATGATAATTGTTTATGTTTTTTTTAGTCACCGTGAACATCGAAATGTAACTTAATTACAAGTTACCACAAAATCATTTTGTTTTAACGAAATAGCAAGAACTACTGAACTGTTAATACTTAATACCTCTAATATTAGACATTGTTCACGTAAACAGTCAGCGGCCCGTAAAACTTTTGGTATCAATCTGAACAATCTCTTAATATTTATAAATTAAATCAACGTGCCTATCTTTTTTTTTAAATACAGACAAGGTTGTTTTAAAAGTTGGCTACTCACTTCGTCATCGTAACTATTAGGTTTGCTAATTTGTAAACTTCAGGAAATATGGTTGTTTAATTATTATTCACATACAAATATATAATTTTGAATGTTAGGCAATTATAACTATCATAAAACTTTTAATTAAAGAACGAGTAATATTACCTTTTTGTTATTTAAATTTAACCTGAGCATACATATCCCTTTGCAACTATTTTAATTTTTATCTTCAAACGACAACAATAATGTATTCGTATTCAATTAATCACCAGCACAGAGCATAAAGAGCTGCTCAAAGCTATAATTTTCCAAAAATCACGGTAAAAAAAATGTTTTAACGATACACCGGCCAAACTAAGTGGTTACTCTGCGCAAACGCAACTTTTTTGATGACTTCTTAATTTAATCAGGGGGCCAATTCTACTAAATAGATTTAGTTTAAATCGAAACCGAAGGAAACTACAGTTTTTAATGGTTTTTCTATTCTACTTAGTGACATACGGTACAATTCCAGCTAGTTTTGATCCGTTTTCGATTCGATTTAAACAAAATTTATTTAGTAGAATTGGCTCCCAGGTTGTGGTAAGCAGTGTGCCTTTCAAAATCTTAACACATCCATGAATTTTGCACAAACATACAAGCGATATCTGCGTACAACACGAGTTTTGACTTGTCATGTTTGTATTTCGAATAAGCTGTGAGAAGTACAGCTTACGGTCAAATCAGTGATGGCGGCGCCAGCGTTAGCGGTCGGTTGAAAATATTCCGCCAGAATGTTAAAGCAGTGCTGTCAACTTTTGATAGATTGTACTTTTATTAATTTTACCAAATCATAATTATGACTCTGAATACTCGCATGGAGATTAACTCCATATGATTTTTTAAGAATTAAACAATGTAGGTTTAGTTGGATTTTATGGATAGGGTATGCAGTGCTTATTTGCATGTATGGTGTGCACTAGACGTGTGCGCCGCGCCGCGCCGATGACCGACGCCGCCGATCATGACACGCCGCCGCTGACCGGTTAGAAAGATCGGCGTAAACGGCGCGGGATGGCACGAACTGCGAGTAACATTCGTTCGCTCGGTTGCTAAGCAACGTAGTGCATTCTCTGCGGCACATGTTAATTCCGTTCGGTATTCCATATCTAGTAAAATTTTAATGAATACAAAAGTAAAGTCAATGATGCAAACAAATAAATTATCGAATCTTTCTTCTTTAATTACAGCTATCAACAAAATTGTACAATTAATGTAGCACTCGTCTACAAGATGGAGTTGGCAGAAATCATAAATTAAATACTTACCCTTATTTATGTCTACTCTAGCTAACTAAAACGGCTAAATGATTGCGTCTAACTGGGAATAATATCAATAAAATAATTTCTATGCATGATAACTGTTAGGTTGGGAAAAAAGTCTTTTCGCATATAGTATGCATAAAGTTGTAATAAAATCTTTCTGGCTATACCATTTCTATGTGGCTGGTTTCGGTATCGTTAAAAAGTTTAAATTTTAAAGAAGACTTCGAATTCAAATTAAGAAAATGTGTAATTTTCATTTGTTTTTTCTTACTGCCAAAATTAGTAAATCTAATGAAGAACTTAGCATTTTAAATTTTTATTATAAAAAGGTAAAAATACAACGTAAGCCGCGAAAAAGATTTTTGACGTTTATGAACCTAGTGCAGTTTCTGTGAGGGTAGCACAAATTTGGTTTAAGCGTTTTCAGCCCGGGAATTTTGATGTTAAAAGTGTACTTCGCTCCAGTCACTCTGTTACGAATAAAATGGATGCCATTTTTGAGAAACTGAAGCAAGATCGACATATCAGTAGTTACTACGAAGCTGAGCTCACTGAAAAAACCTAATTAACCGTGTACTCTTTTGTGATTCTTTGTTGCGGTGTAAAGAAACCGAATGATTTTTGAAGAAGCTGATGACTGGTGATGAAAACTGGATCACATAAGGCAACAACATGCGAAAAAAATCGTAGTCAAAGGACGGTCAGACTTTACAGACTGTGGCGAAACCCGGGTTAACTGGCAAAAAGGTGATGCTTTTATATGGTGGGAATAGAAGGGCATTATTCATTATGAGTTGTTACCGCCAGGCAAGACCATCGATTCTGAGCTCTACTGTGAACAACTGATGAGATTAAAGCAAGAAGTTGAGAGAAAGCGGCCAGAATTAATCAATAGAAGGAAGGTGATTTTTCATTAAATGAAGAGAGTTTGGCTGGGAAGTGTTAATGCATCCGCCGTATAGTCCTGACCTTGCATCTTCAGATTTCTACCTGTAAGTTATCGAACAAAATAGTACCTACATACTTTAGTTAAATGTAAGTAAACTTTATTAAAGATGTTTAGAATTATATTCTTAATGAAAAATGCTTAAAAAACCATGAACTTGGACCCATGGATTGCTAAAAAATATTTTTTAATATCATTATGACTACGTTACATAATGTAGAAGAGTATAGTTGTGCCATATTTGAATGTTACTTAAAAGGTGTTATTAGTTTTAGGGTGTTATTTGTTTTAGGGTGTTATTTAACGGGTTAGCATAGTATTCACATTTTTGCTAGCAGAAAAATGTATTCTGTCAGTTGAAATATATGATTGGTCAGCAGACCATGGCTAGCAAACAATATCAAATCAATCGACAATTTTTTACATTCTGGACGGCTGTAATTATTTTTTATTAGCATAATAATCATATAAGCTGCAATGAGTGACGCATGTTAAGTACAATTTTGAACAGCACTTAGAGGGAAGCAACTAATCTAATTTTGTGAAGCATATAAAAATAGCAATAATGACTGGCGCAAAATGGGCGCATTCCTTACAAAAACAATGAATGGGTATTTAGAGTAAAGTAATTAATTAAATTAACTGCCTCCGTGTCCTAGTGGCTAGAGCGTTAGGCTCTCGATCCGAAGGTACTGGGTTCGATTCCCGGTGGGGACACTCTCAAATATTTCTTTGTGAGTTTTTCCCAGTTTGGTTAGGACATTGCACGCCTGAATCACCTGATTGTCCGAAAAGATGATTCCGTGCTTCGGAGGGCACGTTAAGCCGTCGGTCCCGGCTGCTACCTACAGTACTCATATAACACTCGCAAAATATCAAAATACACACTAATTAACATAAAACAAGTTGTTATCACTGTAATTTGACAGCTACTAATCGCCGCATAGACACCGAATGACAATACACGCACGCGATTGGCTACTAGTATCATGCGACTACTCTTGCTCTGCCCACTTTTAACGTACATTGCAGACTTTTCAATAAAAATGCAAACCAATTAGTTATTTTTCTAACCATGCTTCAAATACGCAAACCGATCAAATGAACTGCTAACCGGACAAATATTTCTTGCTGACCAATCCTGAATCTTTCTGATCAAGTAGTTATTTTGGGGATAGACTGTTTATTTGACATACATATATTATTTTAAGCTGACTGTATATGATTAAATTACTGATCATTATCAAGATTATTTGCGAAACAAGGATTGCCGATTGTTTTATTTTTCTTGCAATCTTTAAATCTTTAAATGCTGATCAAACGATTTAAATACTGATTTTTGTGGCTAACCAAATTTTTTTATGGCTGACCTTTTAATTACTTCTCTTAGTTTTAGTAGCTCTTATATTTGTTATGTCAATAAAGGCATTCTGAATTGTTTAACTTTTTATTTTCCATTATTTAACATAACGACGCCGTTTACGCCGCCATTTACGCCGCCGCCTCTGAATTTTTAGCTCCACGCCGCCGCCGAAGATTTCGGCATCGGCGCACATGCCTAGTGTGCACGCCACTGGTCACAGGTACCCCGAGATGGGAAATTTTTGAAGCAAGATAAATATTAATATAGGTTTGTGATGGAATATTGTTAAAATATAATAGTTTTTACGTAGATAAAAAAAAAATACAAAACAGTTTGTTATAATCAACAGCGAAATTGATATCACATATATTTTATCAATAAGAAAACACTTGAATATTTAAAGCTCTATGTGCATAAGGTATTTAAATTGAAAAATCCCCGGCTTGTATTTCTAATAAAAAATATTTTTCTGAAATATTTTTTTTGTCGGGTCCTAGACATATACCTATAGAGATGTGTAGCACAGAGTACGTCCACAAATTTGAACAGTTTGTCCTTAAGAAGCTGTTTGTCCACACGACATCGGCAGTATTTTACGAAAAGCGTTACAGAGCCAGCGAAAAGGAAAAACGGATATGTGAGAATGGGTGCGGCTTTTATTGTTATGTTACCTAATTAATTAATTCTCGTTTTATCGTTTACAAATACGAAAACGCTATGGTACTGAAAAGTGGTTTGCGCTGCACTTCACCAACATTGCGTGCTAGCCATTATATATTAAATTTAACCGCATAACGTAATAGCTATTAAGTAAATACGAATAAAGTCCGAGGATGTCGTATATTTAAAATGATATTTTGTAGAAACACGAGCAGCATGTGGGCATATCGACTTTGACCTTCTCAAATTTCCCAGCGCCGCCTTTGGCCTCGACGACAAACTCCCACGTGGTGAACCTTTGTTTGCAGAAAGTTGTATAACTGTCTAGTTGTGGGAAGACGGTGAAGCACGGTTGATCGTTGCCCCTGGCGGTGAAATTGTTATTGTTATTATTGGTATATATACAGTACAATAAGGGAAAACACTGTTTCTGCGAATGATGGGTCGCAAGTCTTCATTTGAAGGAAAACCTTTTAAATCAATAATTTAATAATATTTGTCATACAATTTAGGATATTAAGAGACATTTGGAGAAACTGAAAAGCTATGTCGTCGGTGCGCAAATTTACAGCGAGCAACCAGTAAGAAATCGAGCAATTGCAGTATTCTTCTCTTCGTTTCGTGTGTACGATGTATTACTGAACTATACTTGTTGAAATTTATACAAAAGACATCTAAACCTTTTGCTTAATTCTCTATACAATAACTACTTATATTAGAACGACCTCACTTACTTGCAAATTTCTGTTCTCACTTTTTGATGATAATTTTTATCGGGAGCTTGGATAACTGAATACCAATCCCCCGGTTTCGTTCGTACCCTGTATAGAGGCTCAAACTGTAAAGAAAAATAATATTAATTCAATTTCGTTTGAAAAACTAAACTCAAAACAAATTATGTATTTTTCCGATATTTCGACTATATACCTATATACGATTATATCCTATAGCGAACTTTTTATCAGATTTGTCTTTATGAACAAACTTTATTCACACAACAGGGCAATACAAAATGCAAAATACATTTTTATAAAATTGACATAACGAGCGAGCATTTAATTAGCTTGATAAAATTAAAAACATATATATCTGTAGATATGCCACAGTGTACTGTGAAAGCATTTTTTACTGTGACAGTACGATGAGTAAAATCGAGCTTCGCTCTTCTTGTACCATGAATTAATAAAACTATAATTTTTGTAGATCGTTCTTCTAGAACTAACTATTACCGGTGAAAGTAAATAAAATGGGTGTTATTCGTAGCTCGGTTTATCCCAGAATGTGCGCTTCACTACATTCACTTCGTGTTACATATTTTATTATCAAGTTACCTACATTACATTCCTCCCCCCTTAATTAACATACATACTTATTTAATTAATTAAAACTACTAAAAATCTTACATAATAGTCTTAACCTTTTACTACAGAACCACTGATGTTAATTATATAATATTAGTTAATATAATAAGGCCGGGCCTGGGGCAGTTCACGAGCTGCTACAGGTGACGATTGTGATGCCCCTTCCATAAGTGACGTCTGACCCTTCTTGACTGGAGTAGCGTACCGTTCATCGTCTTCCACTTCATCTTCACTTACACTACGTCCCGGCGACAATGATAAGGACGATTCAGTATCTTCCGTCTGCTCCCACTAACCTCCTTCCTCCATAGATATCTCACAAGATGCTGGTTATTCATCGGAAAGCTAGAGAATTCCTAGACCTGCGTCTTAATTGGTCGACTTAGATTCAATTTCGTTACCACATTGATCAGTTACTCTATAGTTTGTATTTCCTAGAGATTGTTTAATATTACCTGGATATTACCATTTTTCCACCTTGAGAAAATGACGATCCCAAACGTTTTCACTTGCGTTAAACTTCCTATCAAAGCCACCGACATCTTCAAGCTGCTGTCGTTAATTTTTTATAACATTATTTTCCCTATCCGGTTTTAATAAATCTAAATGTGTACGTTAGCGTCTCCTCATATACAACACGGCTGTATTTTCTCCCGTCGAACGATGATCTGTATTTCGATAGTATAAATAAAAATTATTCAATGATTTTCTGTATATCATCTTTTTCAATTAGCGCCTTCCTAATAACATTTTTTAAGGTTTTAACTGCATTTTCAGCAGCTCCATTAGACGAGCCGTCGTCGGGGGCCGTATAAATATATTTTATACCATCTTTTCTAATGAACTGATTGAAACCTTTACTAGTAAAAAAGTAACCCATTATCACTGACTATTTGTTTGGTGATTCCCCATCTAGCTCATAACTTACATACTTAACTTATCGATAGTAGACACATTTAGATTTTTTTTATTTTTAATCTGCTATTCAGTAATCTTTGGTAAACGTCCTCTAATGTTTCTAAGTTATCGGACATAAATTTCCCGCCCACAATAATATCATCAATAAAACTTGTACGCTAGGTATATCAGCAAATAAATTAGTCATTATTCTTTGACAAAATCCTACACTAGAAGCTAAGCCATAAACCAATCGGTTATAGCGTAACGATTACCGTGTACTTTTTAGACTCATCGAGTTCCATCTGAACATAAGCTTGCGATAAATCAATTATACTAAAATAAGAATTCCATTTGAATAATACTTTGATCTATCTGAATAGGTAAACTTTCAGCTGAGTAGTTTGTTCAAACACAAGTGATGTAACTCCTCTTCGATGTCCTTGCTGTCACCTGTCTCTTGACCCACTTCACTGAAATGCAACCCCCTTCGCTCTCGGGCTAATCTAGCAAGCCCTGCCCACTGGCGCTGAGCCGACCGACGCCTTATCTCTGCCGTCATCGCGTTACCCCATTCTGGACACAGACGCCGCAAATGACCCGACCTTTGACACTTGCTACACGATCTCAAAAACGACAGTTCTCATAGTTATGACGACGTGTTCCACAAGCTTCACAGCAATTTTTTTTTCTAGTGTCGTTCTTGTTTATTAAACCCGTGTTCCTGTAACGGTCGATCGAGCGCATCTGTCTTCGTTGTGATGACGTAATCGCATGCACTGCACCTGTTTCATTACATTTTCCCATCTGTTGTCCTTCTATGATAGCAGCATCTGTTTCCACCGCCTCCAATGACGTTGCTAATTAAACTGCGTCATTAAAACTCACTGTGTCATTTTCTGCGAACAATCGTTGCCTTATAATGTTACTAAGTTATCCACAAATATATTGGTCTCGGAGATTCTCGTTCAAAATTGTGGCAAATTTACAATAATTCGCTAGTGGAGTAGGACTAGTGAAAAAATAGCATTAAATGTTGTTTCTCTTTCAGGTAAAATTTGTACAATAGATATAAGATTTATAAAATATTGTGAACGTTTGTTGCTTAATAAAAAAATATCTTTCAAAGCAACGCAATTAAGCTTTATTTTTAAGAAATCCTTTGAATTAAATAAGAAACACATTATATAATGACCATCGTGCAGCAGTTGGCAGACATAGGCAGGCACACTGAAGATGCTGAGGTGGCAGAAATTATACTTAATGGCCTATCACAAGAGTATGACGCATTAGTTTCTGTCTTAGAGAAAGCAGGCTTAATCTAAAACCTTATCAGCGAGCTCGTTCGGACTAAACTTCGTCAAGAAGAGTTTCGAAGGAATGTGTCCTTATTTGATGAAGTTACAGCATTCAATGTGAACACAAAGAAAAAGATTACATGTAATTTTAGCAAGAAGCCGGGACATTTTAGATCACATTGTTGAAAAATAAGAAGAAAGAAACCAGCAAGACAAGAATTCGAAGCAGAGAACAACAAACGTTACTGGCTTCTGGTTTCATAATCCAGCTGAGGGTGATTGGTTAGTGGATAGTAGTTGTTCATCACATATGACCAATAAGAACGCTATTGCCAATAATAAAAAAATGATCACTGAGGGGACTGGTAATGTCAATTTAAATATCAATAATAGCGACTCATAGTGAATTGGGTAGTGTCACAATTGTCTGCTGATTTGTTATACTCTTTACTGCACTTAAAATTTTACATAAACAAGTAAATAAAGGTGGGCTTATTTCTAGAAGAGATCTCTTCCAGCCAACCTAGGAGTCGTGGGAAGGTAAGATGTAAGCGGGTGATAGAAGTGCAGTTAAATTATATTACGGTTGGAAAAAAAAATCTATACTATAATAAAAACGTAACCGATCGATGTCTGTATATTGAAGATATATGAAAAAAAACTATTATGAGGGACATTTATAAGAGTAATAAAACACAAAACAATGATATTTAAATTTTTTGTCTGTTTGTCTGTTTGTTGGTTTGTCTGTTTGTCTGTGCGTTTGTGCACAATAATCTCAGAAACGGCTGAAACGATTTAAATGCAGTTTTCACTATTATATTGCGGCATTCATCCTTTAACATTTAGTGTAAGATTTATTTCAATCGGTTCACAAATAAAAAAGTTATGTCAATTTGAAGTGACGTAGTCGCCAATATTGCTATGAAATCTTTACTGTTTTATTAATTTTCGTCTTTGATATATTGATCATCATCATTAACTCTTTCACAGCCAAACTGCAGGGCCTCAGGCCTATGTTTAATAATTTATGGTCACCCATCCCGTGAACAACTCTTACGAAAATTGCTTAGCAATAGCGATCGTGCGCAGCGGCGCATATCCGTAGCGCCACCGAGCTACGAATTAATATTGTCTATAAAATGATAATTTGTATGATGAAAAATAAAAAAATAAGATTCCAAAATTTGGATTATTCCGAAGTAAGTTGACCTCATTTATATATGGCCAATCATATTAAATAGGGTTCTGCTTATTATGGACATGTGGTATACGATCACGCGAGTAGGAGAACAAGCGGAAAGAGCCTTCGATGATGCAATTCAGCTTCGAGTAGTTTACAGTGAACGCATATTTTTATCAGATTAGATTCACGTCGTCGTCGGGGTCAGCGGAAGTGGTTGGCAGCCGCTCCCGCATTGCACGGTTTCGTCTGTCTGGGAGAAGCACTCGATTTACCCGAGTCTCCAATTTTACATCTGCAAGGGGACCAATGGTCCAATACTTGAGTGTCCTGGTGACTCGGCCATAGCTTGCCGGTTTTCATTTCCCATGAGAGGGTGTAGAGTATGTTTTGGAGGGTGTTTTGGTGGGTAGGCCGGTTTTGGTTCCGGTTGTATTTGCAGTCGTTCATATCCTCCAATCCACATTGGGCCAGCATGGAGGGTCGTGACCCATCCTCTTGAACCATTCATAAGGAAGGCCTGAGCTCCTGCAGTTGCTGACGTAAAAGGGCTGATGATGATGATGATGATTGCCGTTCAAATCTGACAGAAGCTCAGTTTAGCACCTCACGGAAGTATGTTAGTAGACGATTTCCTTCGAGTGTGGAAAGTCGAAATTAAAATATGTATATAATTTTTTTTATCAATAAATAAAACTCCACGTATCTTCGATCAGACCTGTACTGACCGACTTTTATAGACAAAGAAAGAGATCAGACAGAAAGCGCTCGATCTCGGGAGACACCTGAAAAACGCGAAGCGTATTTAACTGCCCATCGCGAGGCTCATGCGCTATAAAGTTGAATCTGAAGCATTTACATACATGCAGTATGGTATGAGTATGAAACTTCTTTTGATAGGGAAATGCGCTTGGTCTCTTAAAGAGCTCGCAGTTTGTACAATAGAGATCGAGAAAGTAGTTTCGATTATCGCCAACCCGTGTTGATTTCATACTCCACAAGCGTACCGCAGATAAGTTTTCACAGACTATGACATGCGCGTATGATGTAGCTTTCCGTAGGTCGGAATCGCTCTGCAATTATCGGTCCAGTAGTATTGGAGCAAATTCGATGCAAACAAACAAACAACCAAATCTTTCCTCTTTATAATATTAGTATAGCTTAGGCATAAGGGGTCCGATGGCGTAGTGGGTTAGCGCATTCGATTTAAATTGCAGTTAAATAAGTAAGTAAATACTGCACAACAAGGACATACATGAATACTTATTTTACACAAATAAGTACAAACGACAAACTCATCGCTAGCCAGCGATTTCTTCCAGGCAAACTAGCATTACATGAAAAATAGAACAATAAATAGCCGATTGTGTATACAACTAGACAAAGAATAATAATTTAAAAAGATCAAATACAAAAGAAGGACCGTTTAAAGGTACAAATAAAATACTCAGACACAAACGACAACCAGAGCGCGAGAAACGAGGAAAAATAGAAAAATAACATTCGTGAGGACCGTTTACAAGATGGGTGACCAAACATTATTATGTTGAGCACTGTGCACAACACTGGCAAAATTCACGTTAAGCCGTTAGTCCTGGCTGCATCAGCAACGTTAACACCCACCGTTCCGGAGTAAGCCCGCGTAGTGGATTATGGCCCATTGATCTTATTCGATTCGTCTGCATTCATAGGAAAAAAAGAATTCTACCAAAATACTTCCCACGCAGACGAAGTCGCGGGCACAGCTAGTTTATAATAAATAACAAAAATAGATATATACCGGGTGTTACAAAAATACCCGTTATAGCTGAAGGGTGTTGAAGTATATCATATAAACAGTACTCTGCCAAATTTTCAAAACCTTTGCATTAACTTTTAACTTTCAGTAAAAAGGCTTATTTTTAATAATTAATAAAAACATCGAGTGTGCTATGTCACATCACTATTTTAGGATAATGAC